ACATTGTTTTGGAGGTGCTAGCTAATGCAGTGAGACATGAAAAAAAAATTAGAAGCAGAAAAAGTGAAAAGGAAGAGATAAAACTACTACATACAGGTGATAAGATTACAAACCTGGAAAATACTGTCCCCTTTATTCACCCCATGTTTCCATACATCCTCACCTCTTCACTCTTCCTCAAACATGCCAAGTGCATGTGACTTTTGCATTTATGTCTTCTTTCTACAACACTCTCTCACCTATATCCTCAAACCTAACTCCCTGATTCCAGTTAAGTTAATTCCTTCCAGAACCCCTAATATGTTCTGTCCCCTTACTGTGCTTTATTTGTCTCCATGGCATAAGTACCTCCTGACATAATGTATATTTATTTATTTATTTTTTTTTTAAATATATTATCGGTTTTGGCATAATGTATATTTATTAATGGATTTATTTTCCTTCTCTATAGAATGTAAACTCTTGTAGATTCGGAGTTTCCTGTTGTGTTCATTGCTGTATCCCCAGTGCCCAGAACACTCCCTGGTACATACCCCCGGTGCCTACAATACTGTCAGACACATAGTAGACACTCAGTGATTATTTTATGAGTAGGTAAACAAATGAAAATCCAAGAAAATCAAAAGAGTAATTTATAAATAATAGTAGAATTAGTAAATTATCTGGGTAAACATTCAACATGTTCAAAACAAGAGCTTTTATGTTTGTAAAGAACTACCAGTTAGAAGATTTAATGGAAGAAAGCATCACATACATTATAAACTGCCTTGGAATCAAAAGAAATGTTCAGAGTTTATATGGAAAAAACAACAACAAACAAAAGAACTTTAAAACTTCCTGATATAATCCCCCACAAAAATTGAGTAAGTGGATAGTCAAAATATATTCTCAGATTGGATTGGATTGGATTGGAAGATTAAAAGTCATAAGAACCAATTATTCCTACATTAGTATGAAAATCTAATATAATTATATCACAAATGTTGAGAATATTGACAGAATTTGGGGGAGCAAGAAAACTAAACTCATAAAGATCATACAGAAAAATATGCAAGAAAACACAGGGTAATTTCGGGAAAGAAGCATAATGAGAATAAACCTTCCACATATTAAAATACTGTATAAACTTCACATAATCAAAACTGTATAGTCCTGACACATGCATAGAAAAAATGATGAGAACAGACTAAAAGCCAAATATAAACCCAATTACATACAAAAAATGATATGGTAAAGATGGCTTTTCAAGTCAGTGGTAAAAAGATGTGCACAATTTAATAAGTAGTATCAGACAATGAAGTTTAATTCTTACCTCACACCCTACACCATGTAAATTAAAACTGAAAGGAAATATTTAAATATGAAAAAGTAATAGAGGAAAAAAAGGAAAAATTTGACCCAGAGATCACAAGAGAAAATATTGATAAATCTGTTAAAAAAAATAGCATTTAAAAATTTCTGCATGGCAAAAAGTACCTGTAAAGTCAAAAAAAAATGACAAATTGTGCAAAAATATTTTTGTACAGCACACAAAGGCTAATTTCCCTAACACCTAGTTTCTATAAATCAATAAGAAATAAAACCCAGCCGAAACCGGTTTGGCTCAGTGGATAGAGCGTCGGCCTGCGGACTGAAAGGTCCCAGGTTCGATTCCGGTCAAGGGCATGTACCTGGGTTACGGGCACATCCCCAATAGGAGATGTGCAGGAGGCAGCTGATCGATGTTCCTCTCTCATCGATGTTTCTAACTCTCTATCTCTCTCCCTTCCTCTCTGTAAAAAAATCAATAAAATATATTTTAAAAAAAAAGAAATAAAACCCAACAATTCAGTTTTTAAAACAAAGGAAATAGATAACTCATAGAAAAGAAAATACTAATAGTTCTTAAACATATGGAAAGATACTTAACCATATAATAAAAGGTAATTATACTTAGAGAAATTCAGATTAAAACTAACCTGAGATGTCATTTTTCACCCATCAAATTGGCAAATTTTACCTCAGAGGGAAGATAGGGGAGGGTGGGGGTAAGGGGGAGAGATCAACCAAAGGACTTATATGCATATAGGCCTAACCAATGGACACAGACAACAGGGGGGTGAGGGCATGAGGGGGTGCGGGGTAGGGGGTAATGTGGGGATAAGGACACATATGTAATAACTTAATCAATAAAAATTTTTTTTTAAAAAAAGAAGAGGTCTCACACACACACACACACACAAAAAAAACTTGATTTCACCCATCTCATCAAGGTAATTGACAATGAGACATTGTAATATATTGGTAGGAGTGTAAATTGGTCTTCCCAAGGAGGTTAATCAATATTTGTCAAATTGCAAAAGCGCAGAGGACCCAGAAATTATTCTTCTAGGAATTTATCCTACATATAATTGTATATGTGTGAAATAGTATATATACAGAGTCAATCACTAAGACATTATTTGTAACAAGAAATGGTTGAAAATAAATGTCCATCAACAGGAGACTGGTGAAATAATTACATATATATATATATATATTTGTTAAAAAGAATATATGGTTGTTATGTACTTAGAAAAAATACTTCCACGACATATTACGAGATTAAAAAGTAGCTTTGAATGGTGTGCTCGGTGTGCTACCGTGTGTGTTTTGGGAGGCAGGGGGAGGAATGTTTGGGTTTAAACCATCTCTGGAAGGACACATGAGAGCCTGGTAACATGAGCTACTTCTAGGGAGTGAAACTGGGTGTTTGCAGGACAGCAGCGGAAAGGAGATTTTTCACTGTAAATACTTTCGTATATTTATATTTTTTATTTTTGAGCCGTGTAAATCAATCAATATAATTCACCTGCTGGTCATTTAAACCACATTAGGTGCCAGGTGCCAGGATGGGGCAGTGGAAGCCACTGCAGGATCATTATCAGAAGAGCCAGGCTCTAGTTCTTGCTCTGGCCCCAATTCACTGGTGGGCCTGCAGCGAACATCCTCTCCGCTCAGGGCCGACCGGGAAAGGCTGGAGAAGTTGGTGTCCAAGGCCCTCTCTAGCTCTGACATTCCGAGATGTAAAGTGCAGTTTTTCCTCCTACATTTCCTAAGTCATCTCTCTACCTCCTCCTTTCCTCTGCAGCTCATCAAAAGCTCAGAGGAAAGGACAAGCAATTGGAGAAAATAAAATTGCAAGAAGACTTTTATAGGGCTGCTGTTGAATCATTGTGTATTCCACCACCAAAGCTGAAAATGATGAGTTTAATATCACACAGAGCAGTGCATCTTATATGTCTCAAAAGACAGCTTATGCTACCCAGGAAACTGGGAGTGCGGCAAGGCGTCATGCTTTGCTCCAACTCTGAGGCAAATGAAATGGCAGTCATCAGGCCCACATTCTAGAACAGAGGTTCTCAACCTTCCTAATGCCGCGACCCTTTGATACAGTTCCTCATGTTGTGGTGACCCCCAATTTCATTGTTACAAATTGAACATAATTAAAGAATAGTGATTAATCACAAAAACAATATGTAATTATATATGTGTTTTTGATGGTTTTAGGTGACCCCTGTGGAAGGGTCGTTCGACCCCCAAAGGGGTCACGACCCACAGGTTGAGAACTGCTGTTCTAGAAGCAGCATGGTTTTCGTTTGGTTTTAACTTCATTGGAAAGTGTCCCAAGGAGGGACAATCCTTCAAAGCATGGACTTTCCTTTTTTCCCAGGACCACACCCTAGAAAGGGGACAGGCATGTGGCCAGGTGTTGCCTTGGCTGCTTCCAGCACTGGCCACTGATGTTGATAAGTTAACTGTGCCAGGCGTCCAGAAACTGGGTTTTAGTCCCAGTTATGACATGAGCTTGGGCAAGTCCACTCCCCATTGGGGGCCTCTGATACTCTGAGGAAGGATTAATAGCCATGACTTGGACTGATGTGTAGGAAGACAAAATTGGATTTGAGCGATATTGAAGATCTGAGGAGCTAAATATTCCTCAATTCCTGCCAGCTCATTACCGTGTCTGGAGTCTTCTCTCTTGTTGAGTTCTGCACACAGATGCTGAGCAGCCTTGATGCACAGGCCCGGGGCTCTTTACAGACAACCTCCTACCTCCAGGGAGCTTGTAGAGGGAATGGTAACAGATAAACCACACCAAGCGAGGAAGTGCCTTAAACATGTGTAAGCAGAGAGCAGAGAAAGGCTAGTCCCAAGGTGTGTTTTTTCCAGGCACTATATATATTCTATTGGGGAGTAGGTGTGGCATCATGAAATGAGGTTAAATAAAATAATTAACTAAGAGGTCATAGGTGAAGTTCCCAGAATGGTGCTGGCATGCATTCAATATGTAGTAAATGATAGTAACCACTATTGTGATATTTGATTCTCACTGTAACTCTCTGAGGTTGGAATTAAAATAATCACTTTTCAAATAAGGAAGCGGAGGCTCAAAGTAGGACCATGATTTACTCCAGAGCCCTCAGCTAGAAATGGCCAGTCAGGGCAAAACCATAAGCAGGCCCAATGTAAACATAATTATGTTGCCTCAACGTATTTCTAATTAATCAGAGAAACAAATTCTGCTACTGCGTTTAGTCTTGAGTGTGTTAACTGTTCAGGACTTGACCAACAAAAACCTCACTTCTTTCAGAGAACTTTGAAAAGGTAGCGCTCTCAGACCCAAGGGCAGGTGATATTATATGTGAGCAGAAATGGATTGTGTCTCAACCCCTCCAATCACATTGCAAATGGTTGCTAAATGGGCTAACAGGTAGGGCCAGCTTGAAAGAAAGTATGTGTGTACATGTATGTGCATGTGTGCATTTGTATGGTTTGTGTGAGTGGTGCACACATACATGTATGTGCATGTGTGTGAGAGTGTGCATGTGTGGAGTGTGTGTGTGAGTGTGCATGTGTGTGGTGTGTGCATGTGTGTGGTGTGGTGTGTGTGTGTGTGTGTGTGTGTGTGTGGTGTCTGGTTCCTTCAAAGTGTGCTCTGTGACCCCAGACTTCTCATTTGTTATCATCTCTCTCAACAGAAAACGAGCCTGGAGTTCTATATCGACATCCACGCCCACTCCACCATGATGAATGGCTTCATGTACGGCAATGTCTTCGAGGATGAGGAGCGCTTCCAGAGGCAGGCCATCTTCCCCAAGCTGCTCTGCCAGAACGCTGAGGACTTCTCCTATGTAAGCCAGGACTCCCTCTGCCCTCCTTCTCTGCCTCTCCCTCAGTGCAGTTTGGTTTAACATTCACAGAACACCAGCTCTGTACCAGGTGGTGCGTGGATGTGGATGATAAAGACAGAGGTAACAAGCCAACCCTGCCCTCAGGCCGCTCCTCACCAGTGGGGAGGGAGACGCCGATGTGGCAGCCAGCACTTGGTTTGTCTGAGGAGCTGGCATCTGTGTAGTTGATCTGACTCCAGCATTAAGACAAGAGACTCACTGAGCAACTGAGCACCCAGCACATGCCAGGCCTGCTCCGGGTTGGCTTTCACCGGCCCCAGTTCCATCAGTAGGAGCCTGTCATGTCTGCAGAAGTGGTTACACGTGCACCATTCTCTTCCTTCATGATGCTTTCTGTGCCTCAGTTTCTTTGCCAGTAATTTGTGGGTGACAATTCCCTGCCCTGCCTGCATCATAGCTTCCTGGGGGGACAAATGGCAGCAATAGACTGCACTCTGCAGGCAGGAAAGACCTCAGCAGGCCCCAGGAGCGTGTTACTACCCACTTCACATGCCAAGGAGGCCTGAGAGACTGTAGGCTGGCATTAGAATAATTTGTAGCAAAAGCAATATTGACAAAGGACCAGGAGAGAAGATAAGGAGGGGAGTCAGCATGTGGTGTGGGGACAAGGGAGATAGTTTGTGAGGTTTCCTTTGTTTTGATACCAAATCTCTGAGGCCTGTTTTTCCCATGTGGCCAAAGAGGTTGATGAACACTGGCCTCGCGTGTTGCTTCAGGCCTGGACATTGGTGGAGATGATAAATTTCTCCAGGAGGTAAGATGCACTTTGAATCTCAGAATCTTTGAATGCCAGACCACAAGAGGTTGGGGGAGATTATTTAGCCCAGTTTCCTCTCTATACCTAAAAGTCGCCTATGGCCCAGCGAGGCGGGTATATATAGCAAAGTCCCTCAGGTTTGGTGGTATAATCCAAGCAGGTGGCTCCCTATTGGTAGGTCTGGGATAAAAGCAGCCATCCTCGTTTGTGTGGGAATCTCTATAGGATAGTGAGCCCTTGTCTTTTTGAAACCACTCCAATTCCAGAGCAGACTGTGGTCTCCTGGATCCAGGTTCCCTGGAAGGCTGGGCCATAGGCCTCAGAGACCTTCACAGGGTTAAGGTTTCCAGGGCCAACAAAAGGGGCACCATCTAGAAGATTTATTTCTGGCCTTCCTGATTATGTTCCTGCATTGCAGCCCCTTAGGGGCTCAAGGCCGGGGACAAAGTCATCTACCCTACTCCAACCTCTATTTCCCCTCTCCCCTGATCCTCAGTGCCCAGCTCTAAAATGAGAGTTGGATTTCACTATGTGGACTTCAACAGTCCTTTAAGATATGATATTATATGATTTTCTGATTCTTTCCTTTACCACAGCACACACATATTTCTGTTTCTTTCCATGTCTTTCTGTCTTGTTTTGCTGTTTTCTTTCTCCTTCTTCCTTTCTGTCTTTGCCTTCTTTACTTACATTCTTCTTTACTTTCTTCCTGGTGAACAAGACACACATTTTTTTTATTAAAACCATCATCTCTTCATGTACTTAGATCTTCATGTGTCAGCACAGATGCCCTTGTAACCACAAGTGAACTGACTCTCACACCTCTGTGAAAGAGATTTTTTTTATTTTTTAAAATATATTTTTATTGATTTCAGAGAGGAAAAGAGAGGGAGAGAGAGAGAGAAACATCAATGATGAGAGGGAATCATTGATTGGCTGCCTCCTGCATGCCCCCTACTGGCGGGTAGAGCACATGCCCGTGACCGGAATCAAACCTGGGAGCCTTCAGTCCGCAGGCCGACGCTCAATCCACTGAGCCAAACTGGCCAGGACTGTAAAAGAGATTTTATGATCACTCTACAGATGAAGACATGAAGGCCAGTGGACTCCATGTCACATGTTCTGAACAGGGCCGGGGCATTGAGGCACTGACCTGTTTGCTCCCTTCTCTCCCTACTGTGATGAGTGTGGGAACACTCAGTGACGAAGTTGCCATGATCCCTGCTCTCTGGTGAGGCTGGACGTGAGGTCAGAGGTGAGGTCGGCCGTTGCAGATGGGCGGGGAGCACTGTGAAGGAGTGCAGCAGGTTCTGAAGTCACTTATCCCTTGGTTCAAGTCTCCTGTATCACTTACTTGCTCCATCTCTGAACCCCTTTCCTCACCTTAGAGGGGCAAAATTATCACACACACACCAAGGAGTGTTTTTTTTTTCCATTAAATTTATTGGGGCAACACTGGTTACTACGTCTGTATCCTCTATTGTGTGCTTACCACCTGAAGTCTAGTCTCCTTTCCTCACCTTTATTTGACCCTGTTTACTCTCTTTGTCCTCTCTGCACCCCCTGTCCCCGCTGCTAACCACCAATCTGTTGTCTGTATCTATGATTTTGGTTTTTCATTTGTTTTGTTTGTTCATTTGTTGCTTTTATTAAATATCCCACATCTGAGTGGAATTGGTTTCCATCTGACTTATTTCACCTGGCATAATACTTTCAAGACCCATCATGTTGTCACAAATGTCAGTATTTCATCTTTTTTTATGGCTCAGTATGTACCTCATCTTCGTTATCCAATCACCTGTCAAAGGGCACTTAGGTTGTTTCCGTGTCTTGGCTACTATAAATAATGCTGCAATGAACATAGGGGTACATCTATCTTTCCAAATAAGTGTTTTTAAATTTTCCAAGTACATACCCAGAAGAGGAATTAATTGCTGGATCATATGGTAGCTCCATTCTTAATTTTTTAAGGAATCTCTCCATAGTAGCTGCACTAACTTACAGTTCCAAGGGCGTTATTTTTGAAGCCCAAATGAGATACTGCTATAGGGGAAACAATATGATTAAGTTGAAATCACTGCCCAAATTTTAATTCTGATTTTCATCATAGTACAAGTACTTCTTTTTTTTCAAGTTTTATTTTATTGTTTGAAGTGTTACATATAGTATTGCATATTGCTTCTTATTCTCTGTCCACATTCCTTTGCTCCATCTGTTCCCCATTCAGATTTTCACAAATACAGGGATGGGCAAAAGCAGTGTTTCCCATATGCATGAGTGTAAGCCTACTTTTGCCCGCCCCTGTATTTGTTAAATGGCAGTTACTGTGCCCCAGGAGCTCTGCCGGTTGCTTTTGTTTTAATGCTGTTTGTTTAGTTAATCAGTCATCCTACTAAACCTGTGATGTGGGACTAATATCCCACTTTTCAGATGAGGAAGTTGAAGCCGAGAGGTAGTGTGCGCAAATTCTGGTAGCCCAGGCGTCCTGCCCTGACTCTCTGCTCCTCCTTGTCTTTCACAGTCCAGCACATCCTTCAACCGGGACGCCGTGAAGGCAGGCACTGGCCGCCGCTTCCTCGGTGGCCTCCTGGACCACACTTCCTCCTGCTACACCCTGGAGGTCTCCTTCTACAGCTACATCAGCGGGGGCACCACTGCTGCGGTGCCCTACACCGAGGAAGCCTGTATCCTTGGCAGGTCCCCATGCTGCCCCGGGCCAGCCCACACTCAGGCCTGGCAGGATTTCTGAGACAGGTCAGAAACTTGGTCTCCCGTGGGGTGAGGATGGAGATGGCTGGCTCTGCTGTTGGCATCTTCGCATTGTCCTGTTACCCCCTCACCTCTAATGGACGCCCTCTCCCAGCTGCCTCTGCTGTGCTTCAAGTCTTGGTCAGCCACCTGGACCCACGGCCGCCCTCTACTTTATGCTGCCCCACCTCTCTCTCCCCTCTGCTCCCTCATGAGAGAGTCTTCTGCCATCTGAGGTGTGTGAGCGCACAGGCTGGAGGACCGTCCTCTGGGCTGCTGAGGAAAACCCTGATGGTCTTCATTCCTCTTTCTAACCCTGAACATTTAAAACTATATTTTCTCTTCTATCTTTTTATTCTCTTGATTTCTCATTTTCTTTTCTTTCTGCTCACTATTTTTCCTTTTACTGATACCCCCCTTTTCCCCTCTCCTCTATCTCTCCCTTCCCTCCTATTTTGTGTGTTTCCTCCCCTAATTCTCACAACCCCCTTCCTCTCTCCCCTCCCTCTGTATTCCCCCTTATTCCCATTTTCCTTTCCTCTCTGGCTCTTCACTTTGCCTCCCTTCCGCCTTCCCTCTCTGCCCTCTCATCCTCTGCACATCTTGCTCTTTGCATTTCCTCTGCCAAATTGTCTTTCCTCATACAATTTATCTGAAAACCCCCAAGCATGCCATGATGAAATTATAGGTTACTTTCTAGCTTGCTTGAATTTTTAGGGGTTATTGAGTCAATTTAGTTTCCTGAGTGTTGATTTTAATTTCAAGGTCACAGCATGAGTTGTGACAGATTGTGACAGTGTCTGTTTTCCTTTATCCTTTTGGTTTTTGGATTGACCCATTTCTCCTTTCCTATGTTTTCTTAGAGAAAGAATTATAGTTGAAGGAGGAGAAAGGAGAAGAAATAAATTAACTGTGTATATATTTAAATTCTCCCCCCAAAGTACAGGTGCTCCTTTTAGCCTTTATTCAACTGTGGCGAGTATTTATGGAGTTTCTACCATACTCTGTGCAGGGAAACATCCTTTCTATATGTGATGTAACTTAGGACTAGTCGGTTGCAGCCTAGTGGCTCTAGGGGCATCGGGGGTGGGGGGTCCAATTCCCGAGCTGGGATCATGGGAGGCAGGGTGACAAACCCAGACAGAGGGGTGAGCAGCAGGTCAGCTGGGTGTTTGAGAAATGTTCCACACCCACAGAGTACTAGAGAGATGATGAGAGTCACCCAGACTGAGGCAGTCATCTTGAAGTCAGCTTTCATAACCTTTAACTACGGCCTGGCTAAGGAACAGGCAGAGGACCCTTGGTTTCTAAAGTCCTGGCCATCTATCAAGTGCCACACCACCACCACCACCACCCCCCGCCACCTCAAAGCACACGCCCTTAATCATGTATGGCCCATGCCCTCTCTATGATCCCCTAACTCCTGTAGCACATGCATAGGCCACATTCCACACTGCACCCACCAGCTTTGTTCCACATGATATTGTGGCAAAGAAGGTAGAGAGAGTTGCCTGGTGAATTGAGCCTGTGCACCAAAGGGAATCCCGCAACCCCTGATCATAGTGAGGTGTGAGTTTGTGCGCAGGAGCCTGCACTCAGTTTGTGGTTGGTGTCTGATGTCGAATTTGAGGGTTCCCATCCTTTCTTGGCACCTCTGACACGCTTTTGTGTAGAAAGTAAACGTATTTCTCAGTAGAGTGCCTTCCCCCTTAGCTCAGGCCACAGTTCTCCTCAGTGCCCAGTCCTTGTTCATCACACGTAAACATACCACCAGGACATGCAGGAGTCAGACCAGGGGCCCAAGCTAAAATGCTGACCAAGAAGGCATAGTTCCTGACTCAGAGCTTTCACTCTCCTTGAGGAGACAGAAGAGGAAAGAGGCATCTATAATATATATGATGAGTTCTGTGGGGAAGGATTCCAGAGGGCCATCGAAAACTTTCACTTAGTAAATTTGTGTTGAGTGTCCACCACAAGCAAGGTAAGTTCTAGGCACAGGGGATGAAACAGTGAACATACTAAAAACAAAATGTCTTTACATGACCTCCCAAACACAGTTTTGGAAGGTCATGGATGGCTTCCCAGTAGAAGTGACATGTAAGCTGAGTTTTTAAGACTGAGTAGAAGTTACCCAGATTTACAGGGAGTGAGCTGTTAGAGGGTGGACACTGCCGACGGAGAGAAGAGAAGGGTGTCTGCAGGAGCTGTGCATGGCTCAGGGTGGCTACAGCACTTCAGATGCAAGAGATGAGACTGAAGGACAGGCTGTAAGGAATTGAACTTGAACATGAAAACAATGGGAGCAATAGGAAAATTTTAAATTGTGGTGGAAGCCACTCTGGCTGCAGTGGGAAGGTCAGACTGGGAAGGCCAGGACTGTAGTTGGAGACAAGCATTAGGAGGTTGCTTTGATCATCAGGTGGGAAGTGATTCAGGCCTCAATTCTGGTGGTGCCGTGGAGTATTTAGAATGAGGGGATTTGGTACGTGATTAGAGGGTGTCAGTGGGGAAGAGGTGCTAGTTAGTGATCAGAGGGAGTTAAGGACACATGCATGTGATCTAACTTGGCTCCCGAATGAAAGCACTTTTTAAAACCCTCCTCTCATGACAGAAGGAGACTTCAGGCAGACAGATTGTGGTCCGTGTTGGCTACTGGCTCCTCCTCCCAATCAGAGAAAGAAATGACACGATGGTCTGACGGGAATGGCAGTATGGTCTGGAAGGAAATGTCCTCTAGCCTGGGAGTCAGGGGCCTGGATCCTGATGGCAGCACCTCCCAGAGAGTGTCCTTCGGCAAGTCCTCTGACCTTGCTAGGGTGAGCAACATCGCCTTCACAAAGGGACCAAGGACCTTTCACTTTCCCACCCCTGCTCTGGGGATTAAATACAGATACTCATGAAAATGTGAGGTGTTATTCAAAGAGAACAGACCTCGGATTCAGACAGATCTGGGTTTGAATCCTGTATCGGCCACTTACTAGGTATGTCACCTTGGGCAAGTTACATCACTTCAGTGGATCTCATTGTCCTAATCCATAATAGGACATAATGATACTTCACCTCACTGAGCTGCGATGAGGTTGAATAAAATAATGTGTGTGAGTGTGCATTGTAAGTTAAGTGACTGTTGGTTAAAACATTGAAGAGATGTATGTGACCGTGGATGAGGACCTGTGTTTATGTGGAAGACATAGAGCTGTTAGAGCAAGAGGCCTGGCTGTGCTTCGAGGGCTCACAGGGCAGAGGGCCTTGGAGGAATCACCACAGTTAAGGGCCTTGACCTCAGAATGCCACACAGTGGCTGGAGTGCAGTTCCCATGGTTTGTTTTTCGTGTCTGTCATCCGGAGTACCCTCTTCCCAGTGTCAGGTGTGGTTCCCCAGAGAGGGCTAGGCACGTGTAAGATCCGAGAAGGCTGGAAGGGAGGGAATCCTGAGGGGGCTTGTACCCAGGCTCATAGTAGTGCTCACCTCCCCACCCACCAGAAAACATATGTCTGTCAGTCTAGTTTTTCTCCCTGGAAAAGTGCCAGCTAAACATACCAGGGCCTTCCTCCCTAGTGCAAGTATTTAACCACTCTGTCTGCCTCCCATTCACCTTGGAAATCTGAGCCCTAGTTCTCTTTCTGCAGGAAATCTTTCTTCCCTCTCCCTCCCCTCAGTTTCTTGATCTGTAAAGGGAGAATAGAGATGTTTTATGTCATAGGGCTGCTTTGATGGTTACAAGGGAGAATGCAGATGAATCACTGGGCACACACTCAGGCACCATTGAATATTAGTTCCCCTGCCCTTCCTCCCTGTTGCTAGTTGTTTTTGTTGTTGTTAAATGATAAATTCCTGAGAACTTTAGACCATTCTCCAGCAAATGCTATTTACATTTTACTGTCCTGCAAGTAATAAATTGCTCTGTTCAAATGATTTGAGAGGCGGGGGAAGGTGAGCAGAGAAAGAGAGGGAGATGCTAAACTGGAATCATAAAATAACCCATAGCTTCTGTGGTCTTTGTTTATGGTCTGGTCACAGCCGAAGGAAATAGCTCTTTGACAAAATGGATGAGAAAAACATTGCAAAGAGAGACCTTTGGTCCTGAGCAGACTCGTTTCCACAGTCTTATAGCTGGGACACCTTAATCAGAGAGTGCTGGCTCTAGGTGAAGGGAATGATGGGTGTGGCCAAGAGAAGATGCAGAGATCTAGGACTCAGGTGGTTGGCTTGGTCTCAATTCAAAGCCTACTATATGCTTTCCACTGGGTCCACACCAGACATTGACAGTGTCATTTATTTTATTCATCCATCCAACAGAACTCAGTAGACACTACAAAGTTTTGTCCTCAGTCCCTGGTGATCTGACAGTCACCTCTGTTGGGGCACTAGACCTCTCCAGTGCCCCTCTTGTCTGAACATGAGCTAAAGGTTGCATAACTGGTTCTCTGGTTTCCTTTTCCAAGTCTTGCATGGTGGTTTCATACTTCACTTTAAAATGTGGTATCTGGCCTTGGCCAGGTAAGTCAGGAGGTTAGATCATCATCCCATTATGCCAAGGTTGTGGGTTCAATCCCTGGTCAGGCCACATATAAGAATTAACCAATGAATGCATAAATAGGTGGAAAAACAAATCGGTGTTTTTCTCTCTCTTCTCTCTCTCCCTTCCTCTGTCTCTCTCTCAAATCAATAAATAACAATTTAAAAATAAATTAAAATAAATTTTTAAAATGTGGTATCTATGGACTCAAGATCTCAGCTAAAACCAAGACTCATTTTAATAATGTGTTCCAATATCTAACAGATAAGATTGAGCATTATTGGTGATTTCTTGGGCATGGGGATAAAGAGAGAAATCAAGGAAGATGCCAAGTTTTCTTGATTTGAACAACACAGTGGAACCAATAACGTACATACAGACTGTTGGAGAAAGGGGTTGAGGAGGGGGATATTTTG